TAAAAAATCCTCAACAACGAAGGTTTCTCAACCAGAGGTTGCCAACCCCAGTGAAAAAGGAGAAAAAGGTTCTCCCTCTGTCGTCAAATCTCCAAAGAAGCGCAAGAAGGTTGTCGAAACTGCTGCACCAAAAACCAAAAAGGCAAAAAAGGTCATTCATGTGCCTGAACCTGCTAATGGTACTCCTTCTCACACGAAATCTGGAGGAGAGTCGTCTCTAGATTCTGATGCTGATTCTTTTGAACGTGAGGTTACCAACTATGTTGCTGAACCTGAGAAATCAGACAACATACATGTTGTGGACAAGGAACTTTCTCCTCTTGAGAAAGGAAAAATCGTTGCTGAAGTCGAGGGTGATGGTCCAGACAGTACTCTTACTGTTGGTAATGCTTTTTCCTGTCAGTTTTATTCTCCTTTGGCTGAAACACGTTTTTCTACCATCTTTTCTCAAATGAAGTTTCGTCCTGAGCGGATGATTGATAGCGAACATTATGAACAACTTGGGTTGCTTGAACTTCTGAACAAAGTGGGTCTTGAGGGTTCAGTCACGTTTTTTGGAAAGTATTGTCCCCGGCTTGTTGGTGAATTTTATTCGAACCTGACTACCTGTATCGTTGATCCATCCTCAAAGAAGTTTCAAAAAGTGTTTGTGCGTAATAGTGTGGTTTATTTCTCTTCGTCTGTGGTGAACTCTTTACTTGGTTTAGCTGAAAGTTCCTCTCTTCGACCTCTGACTGATAATCTTGATGAAGTTGATCGTACCTTGACCGGTGGACAACTAACCAAATGGCTTGCTCTGGGAATCTTTGTGAAGAGTCTAACTCCGCCTGCCAATGCTCTACAAGAGATAGGGGCGTCAAATTGGACTCCTACCACTCACAAGCAGTTTGTCACCCCTACACAAGCTCGTGTTATCTATCGTATTCTGAACGGTACCCCATTTGATGTTGGTTCTGTGATCGTTTATGTTGTTGTGGGCTTTGCGGAAATCTCCAAGCCTCATAAGTTGATGTTGTACCCATCAACCATATATGCCATTCTCTTCGAGGCTAGTGTGAAAATGGATCCTTGACTTGGTGATAATTATGCACCTGTTAACAAACCTCTTGCCCTTGCTGGTGTTAAGGTTGCTCCTCCTCGTCCTTCTCTTGTTAAGGCCTCTGATGTACCTTCACAGCTTCGCGGCTTTTTAAATCAGCAAGTGGCAGTTCTCGCGGGACTTGAAAAGAAATTGGCTGATCAGCGGAGGTACTACAAAGAGGTTCTGGGTGCTTTAAAGTCTCATACCCATTTGGTCTCTAAATCTAAAAAGGGGGAGAAAAAGAAGGATGTTGCTGCGGTTGTTGCAAACAGTGGGTGCTGAAGGAAAGAAGAAAAAGGTTGCTGCTGCTGCTACTCAAAAAGGGAATGAGAAGGTCATTGCTGACAAAGAAAAGGGAAGGGAGAAGGTGGTGGAAGTGGAAGAAGGTTCTGATGAAGAAGAAAAAGAAAAAGAAGTTGGGGGTGTTGGAGTAGTATACCCGGCGTTCCAATCAGATTGGACGTATTCTACTTGTAAATGCAATCTATTGGAATTATATTAAATAATAAGGCATTACTTTATATTAAGAGTAAGCATTTGCACTTAAGATAAAATCCCTAGATCACTTATAGCTATAAGATATGGTTGCGCATAGAGATGGTGATCATGGAACATATCTTGA